ACCAATGGAGGTCACAATTTTTATCTGATTTTGTTGAAACTTGAAATGTAAGTTTATAACCCAAAGATCTCGGTTCCTTCCGATATTCGCGCATATCGGAACGTAACTTCCTGAATTATGGCCCCTGATTGTACGCAAAAACGCGTTTTTTGGCTTGTGGACCCTATAGAGGTCATAATTTTTATCCGATTTAAAAAAACGTATTATTATATCACCGATAAACCCTAAGGACGGTTGAGTTCGAATTTTGTGAAAATCGGCCCAAAACTGACAGACAAAATGGCCATCGTTCGTTCTCAAATAGCGTAAAAATATGGTATATCAATGTTGTAGACCCTATAGAGGTCACAATTTTTATCCGATTTTATTGAAACTTGAAATGTAAGTTTATAACCTAAAGATCTCGGTTCCTTTCGATAATCGCGCTTATCGGACCGTAACTTCCTGAATTATGGCCCCTGATTGTATGCAAAAACGCGTTTTTTGGCTTGTGGACCCTATAGAGGTCATATTTTTTATCCGATTTAAAAAACCGTATTATTATATCACCGTTATACCCTAAGGACGGCTGGGTTTGAATTTCGTGAAAATCGGCCCAAAACTGACAGACAAAATGGCCGCCGTTCGTTCTCAAATAGCGTAAAAATATGGTATATCAAGGTTGTGGACCCTATAGAGGTCACAATTTTTATCCGATTTAGTTGAAACTTGAAATGTAAGTTTATAACCCAAAGATCTCGGTTCCTTTCGATATTCGCGCATATAGGACCGTAACTTCATGAATTATGGCCCCTGATTGTATGCAAAAACGCGTTTTTTGGCTTGTGGACCCTATAGAGGTCATAATTTTTATCCGATTTAAAAAACCGTATTATTATATCACCGTTATACCCTAAGGACGGCTGAGTTTGAATTTCGTGAAAATCGGCCCAAAACTGACAGACAAAATGGCCGCCCTTCAGTCTCAGATAGCGTAAAAATATGGTATATCAAGGTTGTGGAACCTATGGAGGTCACAATTTTTATCTGATTTTGTTGAAACTTGAAATGTAAGTTTATAACCCAAAGATCTCGGTTCCATCCGATATTCGCGCATATCGGACCGTAACTTCCTGAATTATGGTTCCTGATTTGGACCCTATATAGGTCATAATTTTTATCCGATTTAAAACAACGTATTATTATATCACCGTTATACCCTAAGGACGGTTGAGTTCGAATTTCGTGAAAATCGACCCAAAACTGACAGACAAAATGGCCGCCGTTCGTTCTCAAATAGCGTAAAAATATGGTATATCAATGTTGTTGACCCTATAGAGGTCACAATTTTTATCCGATTTTGTTGAAACTTGAAATGTAAGTTTATAACACAAAGATCTCGGTTCCTTTCCATATTCGCGCATCTCGAAAATGTGGGCGTATCCTGCCTGGCAGCCGCTGGTTTATGTAATAACAATAAAATAACACCAAATGGATCGCCTTGGTAAACCAAGCTAGATTATCATAGTAGCATGTTGAGATGTCTGTTTGATGTTTCAGATTGTGACAAATAGTGAAAGAGAGGGGGGGGGGATGGGTTCAACGTCCACGCCTAATAAAAGTAGTAACACACAAATATAAATCAAGATTGACATGTTTAATACTTATTGTCACAAATAATATATACAATTTCAAAAAACAAATTAATATTTAAAAAAAGATTTCTATAATATGGATTATAAAATAAAAACCAAGCGTACGCAATATTTTTGATTAAATACGTCACATTCCACACCAGGTTGTCGGTTTGATTAACCAGTGTTACTTCCCTTTTATGGTCAAATCTTCCCCGAAAACATGATTTTCATGATTTTATTAACACTTCTTAAAATACTTTGTTAATAACACGCAGAAGTGTGGGTCTGTATCAGATTCTGGCGAACTTTAGTTTAATAATGATGTAGACTATATCAAACGAAGAAGTATAATTCTACAAAAATCACATAATATTCATTTTTTGTCTTAAATCCAAGCTATCTTGAATCGTACACAATACTGCACTTTACAATGTTACAAATATACAATTTTAATCTTGCACAGAGTTACAAAAATAAAATTTTCATCTTACACAGAGTTGCAAAAATACAAAATAAATCTCACACGATGTTAAATAATTACAATTTTAATCTTGCACAATGTCAAACAATTAAAATGTTAATCTTGCCGTATGTTAAACAATCAAAATATTAATTTCACACAATGTTAAGCAATTAAAATGGTGTTCTCACACAGTGTTAAAACAATTAAAATGTTAATCTTACCGAATGTTAAACAATCAAAATATTAATGTCACATAATGTTAAACAATTAAAATGTCGTCCTCACACAATGTTAAAACAATTAAAATGTTCATCATACAGTGTTGCACGTTTAAAATGTTTATCACACACAGTGTTATATGTTTAAAATATTATTCATACACAGTATTAAACAATTAACATAATCTGGCCATCAAAATGTTAATCATACATATTACAAGATTAAAATTTTAATCATACACAGTGATACACGTTTAAAATGTTATTTAAAATGTTAATCTTACACAGTGTTGCACGATTAAAATATTAATCATACACAGTAACAAACAATTAACATATTAATTATAAGAAATGTTACACGTTTAAACTTTTAATCCAAATGTTAATCATACATGTTACAGGATTAAAATATTAATCATACACAGTGTTACATGTGTAGAATGTTAATAAAAGTGTTAATCATACACAGTGGTGCAAGATTTAAAAAATAATCATACACAATATTAGAACAATTAAAATGTTAATAATAGCCTACACCGCATTAAAGAATTACTAATTATACACAGTATTAAACAATTAACATATTAATCATAAGCATCGCACGGAAGACAGAAGGCCATCATTCGGTTTCGAATGACCCACGATCGTTTATTGTCTTTGCAAATGTTTGCCTCTGACATATGTATCAACTAGCCCTATTTTCTTCGAATGTATCTTTATTATATATTTTTAAAAAGTTTCAATTCATTATGGAAATATACTGTCCGACATATTCCACATACTGTTACAATGATTTGTCAATTTCTCCCCATTAGGATCTCAATTACTATACCAGTATTTGATAAGGTTGAAAACCCCAACCGCTTCTTTCTTGTTGCCCTTGTTTTTATATTTTACACTTTATGCAAAATATATTATCCGACACGTCCTTTTAATATCCGAGGTACAATATTAGTATTTTATTACGTCAAAAACCAATCATGGCCTTCTTTATTGTCCTGTATTTATATTTTACTCTTTAATTATGCTGGATATATTGCCCGAAACATTTCTAATTTTCTTGCTTTGCTATAGGAGTCGTTTGATATTTGCTATTGATATTGTTGCTGTTGAAATATTTACATTAATCATAAATAAATATTCGAATGGTCCAAACGTGAGGATATTTATCGTATTTCTGTGTGCGACAGGCGTGAGAAGATACAACAACACAATGTAGATAACAAAACACTATAAGCTTCATTCAGACCTTCCTGTTTAAAAAATGAAACAGAGTTTCACATATCATATTTAAACAATGTTTTTAAAAATAAAAATAAAACTTCATCATAATACAAAAATCTTAAAGGGCCAATCCCGATAATATTTTGGAGAATAAAATTGCTTAATTTTGTTTTAAAACCCCTTAAAATCCTCTATCTTACACGTGATACGTTTTCAAACAACTTAAACCCGTCAGTCTTCATCTGGAAATGGAGACCGGTGTACCAAGCTGTATTATGCGGTGTCTGGATAAAACCAGACTTTTATTTTATAAAAATAATGTGTAGGTGAAATTTACCTTTCGTTATCAAGTACAGCACATTGGTCATTCATTGTATAGACCTCTGACGGAACTGGAATCGATTATCAGGTCATCCAACGAAAAAATTGACCCGAAATCTTAAAAGGGTTACGTGTCCGGATAAGCAGTTTTGACGTTCACGCCCAAACGACTCAATATTTTGAGCTGAAATTTTGAGACAAGGTAAATACACCGTTCGCGCTTAAATTTCATACGTACTCAGAATTTTATTTTTGAGACTCTGTTCAAATCGGGACGGTCCCTTTAAATGTATATAAAGCATTATTGTGCATTTTGGTTTAACACTAAATGACACCTTTCTTAACTATATATATTTATATAAATTAAAACTTTTTATATAATAAATGTATTATATATATAATACATATATATATAATACATTTATTAATAAAAATCTTAATTAAAATTAGAATGATTTGAGGGCAGGTATTCTAAACCTAAATTGTTCTAATATAGATATGTCAATATTATCAGTAAAAAAAAATCAAACGTTACTTGTTAATTGAAACCCAGCCTAGCTTCTCCGTTTTCAAATTAAATCATTAAATGGCGATCGTATTTTAATCCGTTTGTATTTGCGTTATTCGATGCTCTAGAGAGTTGATTATAGGCTTGTCATGTGAATAAGTGCTTAATAATAATTTATAACATTTGAAGCCAAAATAAAAACCTGTAATAAGCAGATTTAGCTCTTACATTATGTATCTTAACATAACATTAGAAATGTTTACTTTAATTAATATTTTTCTAAAGGAGAAAACCACTACCCGACATGGCAGTCAAATTTAAAGCCCATAATTATTATTATACGCGGACTTCAATAGGCGAATTTCAAAAGCCTTACCATATCAAAGTAATATCAATAGCATACCCCGTCTCATGCACTACACCCACTACTAGTATAATAACATGAAGGTTCTGGTTATACGTAAACATCAAATGCACAACGTTTGAAGCAATTGTTATTTGATCCGGTGACATTTAGCTGATGGATAAATGGGGGAAAAAACAAAACCGCCCGGGCATTTCTGTTATAGTAATATCCAGTAATCGGAAGGATTTTTAGGCCTGCACGTAGTGTGCGACACATGAAGTAATCAGGTGTCTAATGTGCATCACTGTAATTCGTTGCAGTGACCTCTTTTTATCATAATATTATTTTACTTACCCTGCTGGGTGTTTTATAGTTAAAACAAGGTATGCTATAACATTCTTTTATATATTAAATTGTTTAATATTTTGCAAATTGTATTTTTCGTAATGAATCTCTCTGTTGACTTATTGATAAGGAATAATTGTAATATATTTATGTCAAATTATTTTTACATTTCGCAAATACTATTTCTGGTATTGAACCCTCTCTCTGATGACTTATTGATTAGGGATAATTGTAAAACATTTATTTTGCAAATTGTGTTTCCGGTAATGAACAGCTCTGTGTATTTACGTTAGCTAATAAGTCGCGAAACTGTTCATATACACGTAGGAATGGTTATTTATACATGACAAAGTGTGTTTTTTCTCTAATGGAAGTATTCTTCTGGCAGTGGAGCTAATGACCTTCTTTTATTTCGATTTCTAACTGTCAGTGAGTCTTTAACGTACTGCCTATCGTATAATCGAGAACAACGAAGGGCTTTTCCTTGTCATCCCACCCCGCCATCCTTATCGAAAAGGGGAAACTTTAAAGATTACACGATCGCACCCATGTCAATCTTTGCAAATAACCCATTGTAGCCCTGATATATACTCTTCAAAAAAGGTAGGGGATATTGAAATGCAAATGCCTGATGAAAACTGCCGCGTGCTGGTTTATCTATCCATGTTAGCATTCCTATCGGTTCTTGCATAAGATTTATTGTTTAGCGTGTCTTTGCTTTAGTGTGTTACGTTTATTTTCATCGGGAGACGTGTTTGTCGACGTCAACGTTAACCAACAGCACTGCAAGAATTGACCGTGGCACTGCAAGAGGAGTGGGTCAGATTGCCCCAAATCGTTATTGGACGGTCGATTAGGAGCATGCCACGACGAATTGCTGAATGTCTGAGGATCGGTGGAGCAATTACTCATTATTAAGACAAAAATCAAAAACGTCCATTTTCACTTTTGACCGTGTATCTCTCTTTGCGAGTGAAATGGGGCCGTCAGATGAGCCGCCCATATGAACTGTTTATGTTCACGTGTAGGCAATTGGCCTGTTATTAACATACACTGGTTACCAGTGCATTTCCGCAGTTTTGTATTGTTTCTGAATATGCCCTACTTTTTTTGAAGAGTATAATATTATATCTAATTTTAGTTGGATAAACTGTTGACTTCATCCGTTAGTACCTGCGAATTGCGGAGGTAGCAGCAAACTGAAAGCTGGATGATATTAGCCTTATGATTTGTCCTTCAAATGAGGTCTGCTTATTTCGATGTAAATGTCGCACCAAACGTTCAACAAGTAAAGCATCAAAAAAATAAATAAATAAATAAATAGGGCTATCGATGGCCATGGCCTTGCGAAGATAAATTTTTTTTGGTATCCACTTGCCACTAACTAGATAATTTCTATATATTCTTTCAATAGTTAGCTTCCGTTAAGGGTCTTTAGCATTGGGAGGACATTGGGGAACCTGTAGAAAACCAACGAAATTAGTCAGGCGGTCCTAATTCTTGTTACGTACTAGTTGCCACACATTTGACTCAATATAGCAAGCACATGTTGGACCACTACCATGGGCGTGGATTTAGAATCGGAAGGGAGGGGGGGGGGTGGACGAATAGGTCTCTGTTCCCCCCATGATTTTGATCGCCAGGACAGATTTTCAGGTATATATCACATAACGGTGAGCTTGTTTCTACGTATCTGGAACTGTATAGTGACTTGGAACAAGAATTGCCATTCTTCAAGCGCTAGTTTTCGGCCAAATCTATTTCACTTGTGCACGAAGCATTCATCATTATGTCACCTGAAGTGAGGCAGATGTTCCCTTCTCTCGAAGCTCTTCTCATCTCAGTGATCCCACACTGATGAACCCTGCTAGTTCCTACTCAGCCGGGTGATCCTTCAGCACTCTGCGCCGTATCAAAACTTGGCTGCGCAACTCCATGACGCAAAACCGACTGAACCACTTGGTGGCGTGTGCGGTGCATAATGACCCCCTTCATGTCGCCAAGATATTCAAAGAGAACAGTCCTGATCGTAGAACAAACGTCTTTGGACGATTCACTTAACTTCATGAACAATTAATATTTATGCAGCTTTGATGTAGGTAGTCAATTTTTCCATATTGTCATCATATTAACCCTAGTTACAGCCTTCATCGAAATAACACTGGTAAAGTAATCTGTTCGTAATTAATTATTTCGTTTGGAAATTAAATGTTCCAGGTCCCCCCACCCAAAGTTTGGATAAATCCACGCCCTTGACCACTACAAACATATCAGACTTTTATCATTATTTAGAATTTTAATGAGAGGTTAACCTTTTGTCTACATGTCACGCTTGTAACTTTCGGACTAACAATTGACATTTTTTAAACTTAGTACTTTGATTGTCATTCGGAATTCGATTATTTTGCATGTATGGTACAAAGACACAATTATCATGTTAGAAGAGATAATTGAAAGTGTTGGTTCCAGTGGAAAGTTTCAATGGATGACCGTTATGCTGATCATGTCCTGTAAGAGTGTAATGTCTTTAAGTATGCTGATGATGGCATACGGCGGACTCGTTCCAGACTGGTGGTGTTATCCTGAAGATGAAAAGAGTGTTTCGGTAGCACCTTTGAACAGCTCAAGTCACTATTATCAAGTATGCAATGAAACTTCTGTTTGTTCCAGAAATTATGAAGCGGATACCAAAACAGTTGTAAGCAAGGTGGGTTCTCGGTGATATAAGTAATATCGCCCCTGTTTAGAAGGGATAATAGGTGCCCCCGTTGAACATTAACAACCAGGGCATGTCTTAACATAGTAAGTAGTGGGATATTTACCCCACTGCTGGAAACAATTGTTCCATTGATGTCTAAATAAGCAGTGAGCAATATGATGATGTTGCCAAGTGAAATGACGCACTTTTGGTACTATTTGAGAAAGTGAAATATTATTGAAAAACAGTAGATTTACAGTGTGCTTTAACTAACTACTGTATTTCCGGTTGTTATTGAAGGGACAGTTTAGTTTTGAGTCCTATTCTAAGTACTCACTTATACGCTCATCCGGTATTACGAGTCCGGTATTACACACCAGATCCACTGTAAGGTATTCCGAAATTCAAATATTGTTTCGCGCCTCGGGAGATACCCTTCTCGGAAATCACCCATGCCCCAGTGCTTCCAATTCCGCTGTAAAGGCCCTGTTAGCAACCGTATAGCACATAATTGTTTATGTTCTTTAGATTATTCGCAGAAATCGCGCGCATGCGCAATTTACATGAAAGGTTATGCATTGCAAACGAGGATAAATCTCTATAAAAATAAAAAAAATAAGCGAAACCTAATACGTTAGTATAATATATTATCAATCCATTGCTTTTAAGTGAACATTGATTTCACATAATTCGCCCGCTTGGCTATTTTCACGGTGAACGGCTAACACCAAACTCCCTCATATTCAATCGTTTTGCAGTTGAACTGAAAATAATAATATATACTTATTATTTATTTATTCAATTGCAGTTTGATTTAGTCTGTGAAAATACTTGGATTAAACCAACCGTGACAGCTGTACAGATGGGAGGGGTACTAGTTGGCGCTTTAATTGGGGGTCAGTCAGGAGACGTGTTTGGACGAAAGAAAACTATTTATACTGCCATTCTTCTTCACTCTATTTTCAACATAATTGTCGCCTTTTCTGTCAACTGGCAAATGTTTGCAGCTTTCAGATTCTTAATTGGTGGGTGTATAGGTACCTTTCTGGTATCAGTTGTATATCCACTGGAATTCATTGGTCGTAAACATCGAGCTGTAGTATCTGCTATACCCTTTTGGACAACTGGCCTTATCCTTCTAGCTTTAGCTTCCTATCTTATACGTGATTGGAAAATTCTACATATTGGTCTTGGGGTTGTGTCCTCTCCTTACCTACTTGGATGGTTGTAAGTATAATTTGATTTACTTCTACACTGACACAATACAACAATCACTCGTAAACAGTTCTTAAGCATCACCTCTGAAAGGAAGTTGAAACCCTGCGCTAAATTGTGCCATTAAAGGTTATATTTCATACCGAAATATTAAATCACAAGGAACAATTTAATAAAATAATTATCAGTTCTCATTTTTAATACAGATGGTTATTATACATTATCTAGTGTAGTTCCCGAAAGTCTGCGATGGTTGTCTACTAAAGACAGAATAGAAGAAGCAAAAGAAATTCTTGATAAAATTGCCAGGTTCAATGGTACAAAGGTTCCAGAAAATGCGGAAGATGTTCTGAGAAAAGTTGCCGAAATGGAAAAAAAGAAAAACAGGACGGAAAAGAAATATACGTATCTAGACATCTACAAAGGATTTCCAATGCTAAAGAAGAGTCTCTGCATACAATTAATTTGGTAAGTGACCATTCAAAATAATAAGAATCGAAATCAAATTACTACTTCATTAGGATACATTATCTAAAACGGATATGCCGTTTTTTTTCTAAACCATGAAATTTCGTTGTTAAATCCAGTTCCTGATAAACACTAAGTTTGGTTGTATTGATTGGTATCATGTATGAGACAAGATACGCCTTTTCCATCCGGAAGATCCGATACAAATTCTTTCAATTCAGAAGTTCGCTTAACTCATTCTAACGATGACTACAGTAGGCTACATGGCTGCATGTACTATGGTAGCCTTCTCTCACAAACCAAAAAGGTAATGCGTTAATACGACGAGGGGTGGGAGCAGGAGAGGGATAAATTAGCTTTAATAAATCTATTGGGCATCGGAGTTTTTTAATAGTGTGTGTACGTGTGTGTGTGTGTGTGGGGGGGGGGGTAGTTTACCCAGAAAAAACCCAACGATATGACATGACAGGCATCAGGCATGCAACGCGACTATGTGTCAAGTGCAAGCCATGGGATCGAAACGATGACACTTTAATTTAATAAATTTATCGCACACAGGAGACTTTAACAATTGGAGGATACTTGTTAACCCAGAGATATGATATGATTATGATTGGCATGGGATGCAAGTCATGGGGTCGAAACGATGACACTTGACTTAGTTACTACCTTATCATGTAAAGCGTACGGTTTACACTACTGGGCCACCCAACACGATCGATGTCCTTCAACATACATAATGCAGTTCACGGCACCTTATCTGTTTCGGACAGCCAGAAGGGTGTATAATACTGTATATTTTAATGCAGAAACATTCTTCGGCTTCGAATGTCACTTTAGTGTGACACATCTTTGTTGTTCTAATGGCGTTTCTTGAAAAAGTGCCGACATTTTCTTAGTTAGGCATCCCATAATATTTAGGGTCTATGTCTTTAAGATAATAAAAGTTTTCTTGACTCGTGTTAAATGGCGCTATACCTAATCAATAACAATGTAATTAATAGAAGGTCATATTATTTTTACAGGTTCTCCTGTTCAACAACGTCTTATGGACTTTCTTTTGGAATCAGCACCTTTTCTGGAAATTTTTACTTGAACTTTTTTCTGATGAGTGTTACAGAGTTAACCACATATTTCCCAACCATTTACTGTTTAGAAAAGTAAGTTGTTAAAGTAGCTAAGTCTCTAACTCAATATCGTCCAAAGTATTCGACATTGAAAACACGAATTGTTTGCCAATTTAGATCAACATTGATGTTGTAATCTTAGCGGGACAAATGGGCTTCTATCAGATATCCAATATTTCAGACAAAATAAACATTTTACCATTGGTACACGAATCGTGTACCATAATGCGTTTCAGTGCCATTTGTAACAAGAAACTCGAAGAACGAGGCTAGACATATTCCACAAGTCACGTCATATCCTTATCGATGTGATGACTGGCTGTAGAACATCCATTATGTTAGAAGTAGACTGGTCTGCATTGGATCGATACTCCATGCTGTTGGTTTTGATGATTTAACAAATTTCTGCATGTTTAAAAGATCCCGGCATTGATATTAAATGAGAAACTAGGGTTATCATGTTGACAAATCTACTGCAGGATTTTGACGGCCCCAAATGTGACATTATATTAATTTGTCAGAAATATAATAAAATGCAATAGAAATATCAACCACTAATCGTTTTCGCAAAATTAAATCCAGAGACAGACCAATAAACATTGAAAAAATCGCAAATATTAGGAAATGATGGCGAGGTCCAAACATTGTTAAGCGCTCACTGTCTTATATACTACTTATTTGTATTACAGAATAGGAAGACGTTATACATGCGCGGGTGCTTTATTCCTAGCTGCAGCATCTTGTATCACTGCTTTAATTATACAAGCAGGTTTGTATGTTACTCAGATGATCGTAGACTACAATACATTCATGACACACTATTTAAGAACATAATAAAAAGACTTCATTCAGTGATACAAGGTCATAGACCCATAGTACATCAAATATAACATACATGTCTATAATAAATATTATTATTCGGTTATTGAGTTTTATATGTATATTTCAATGAATAATAACTAGAACATAATGCAGATGGTTCAATACAAATAGTTTTGTTTAAAATGATATTGGTATAAAGCTTTTAGTCTGAGCGATATTCCAAGATGGCAACACACCTAATGTCTTTTGATATAAGGCCTTTATTTGTAAGATTTACATATTGTCTGCCTTGCGGATTAAGGCTTTTACTAACTGTTCTGCTGAAAATAACGAATACTACTTGGGTAAAAGTATTGTATTTATAAATGCCGAGTATAGGTGGACATAAAACTTTTAACCAAGGCAGATCGTAACCGCAAATTGACAAAGAGGGGATATCATTTTAAGTGTAGACATTATTATGGAAACTGTAACCTTAAGCTGATAATGCTCTATGGCCAGCTCAATAATTTTATGTATAGGTGATAAACCATGCAGCTCTTTCTCACTGTATACATAATAGTATAATTTTCCACAGTAAATGATGTATCAAAGAGCTCAATGATTACTGGTGTGTCGTTGTTGGCGAAGATTTTAACTGGTTCAGCGTGGGCATCCTTGGTCGTGTTGAGTAACGAGTCCTATCCAACTGTCATCAGGTACTTATTTACTTGCTTACTTGTTTCGTATATTTCTATAAGTTTTATATATAAATACCTTACATGTACATAGCAATTGCAAAATTGATGTTGAAAAAGGAAAAAAAAACACAAAAAAGCGTAAATATCATAATTTAGTAACCGACAAAGTTTATTGATACAGCTAATTAAGATAAATTATTATGTAGGCCTATATATTTTGTTAATACAACTCTTTTTAAGGTCTTTGGGCTATGGCGCAGCCAACACAATGGCTCGAATTGGTGGCATCTTGGCTCCTTTTATTTTTAGCCTAGTAAGTTCTTAAACCCTATATATCTGATTGTTCATTTAAGAAATATTGTAGTGCCATGGGCCTTCTATCAGACGTGGAGAGCGGGAGTTGGAAACCGGTCGCCACATCCTACGTTATGACCCATACATCTTTTCTTACTACATATCTTAGTAGCCTTGTGATCGTCTAGAATTTGTCTCTAGCTGGTTTTCCTTCTGCTTCACGTTGTGTATTTACTTCTTACTCTTTTCTTAAGATGTTTTTCTTTCCAGGAATAACAATGCAACAGTTCGTTTTTACATTCCTTATATCAAAGCTTCTTACATATGGTACAATGCATAATAAAATAAAGTCATTTTCAAACACTAGCCAGGCAGACTGGGGGTCTGCTGATAGAAACTGTTACATCTTTCCCCTTCTAGAATCAAGCGGTTGTCTGACAATCGCCCACCAATATGATAGTTTTTTAGTTTGGGTTTTGGACCTTCAATTATCTAATTAGTCAAATATGATGTAAAGAGATTGGTCAAACTAAACCAAATGATGCAATAGGTAAATTTCCAGTCACATGTTTTTTTGACATAATCTATCCTTGAAGTTAGACCCTCTTTCCTGTTATTCTCACACTATTTCCAAAACAATTACTGACAATAGAGAATAATTTGTAAAGAAAGAAATATTGTTTAAACCACCTTATATCTCTATTCCTTGTCTATAAATTTAAAAACAATGTCACAACGAGATATTACTACAATATATTATTATTTCGTTGAGACCTGAAGTGAGAAATTATATAAAATTCTAATTATATTACAGGGAAGTAACAGAATGATACCTTATATTATAATGGCTGTTCTGTTGGTATCTAGTGGTATCTGCGCTTTGTTACAGAAGGAAACCAGGGGGTTGGCCTTAGAGGATCTTATTGAGACAGTTGCCGAGGAAAACGAAAGAAAAGACAGAAAGAAATCTAGTATTTACAACATTAGCTCAGAATCAAACGGGACTATTAGTCAAGTTGGAGAACAAATCAACAGTCTATCACAAAATACAAATACCAAATCCATTAACGAAATCAGCACTCAGATGTAACAATTCCTGTAGATTCATAATGTTTGAAAGCAAATAAGAATATTGATATTTAATACCAAATAATTGACATAGAAGTCAAAAATATGAACTATTTACTGGTGTTACAAAAAACTAAGACGGCTTGAAGAATCGTCTGAATTGTACGTAAAATTTTTATTACTGTATGTATCTATGAAATAACATTTATATGTAGTGTAATGATGGCTATAAAATATATAGTGAAAATAATACTCCGGTACTGACGATCGATGTACTACAGGGGACAAGATTCATTCGGTGGCAAGGGTGCATAGTATCAGAAAATAGACAGGGAGGGTGGAGAGCTAGTAATTGGGCACGTGGTCATTGAACATGCATACCAAGTTTCCCAAATAACAAAAATAATAACAGATGAAATTCGTTACTCCCACTTATGTATTGTGGGGGTTTATTTGAATAAACATAGTTGGGGGCTTATGTTAAAGGGACAATAACACTCTTGCGGGCTTGACAGCTCCAGAAAATAAAAAATAGCCTTATTCTAAGAACTAGATGTGTTAGTGTCCTACCCGTTGTTTTAATTATCTATTAAATCCTATTTTACTTGTCCAGAGGGTTCAAAAATATTTTAAAATCCAAGTCACATTTGAAAAGCTTTTACGTCAGGCTTTCCAAATCATTTAGTTGAATTTTTCCAATTTTTTAAATTAGGTGTGTTAAGGTGAAATTTGTATCATCAATTAATTGGAATATTGTAAAATAGTACAATTTGTTGACCAGAATAAAGAAAGGGACATATTATTCAGTTACAACAAGAGTGGTATTGAGCCTTTAACGAAATAACACCGCGGGCGATCCCAAAACCCATTTTAAAATATTTTAGTCAACCACGATACTACAAACAATATCATAAACAATAGATCTGACCCCTCGAATTTGATGACATCTTATCTCCATATCGGCTTCTTTGCCCTGCTGGTATGGATACTTGTTTAAACAATATCATATTTATTATGTACACATGTCATGAACTATACAACATTAATTTGCATAATATTATATAAAATATAATAAAGGGTTCGTTGAACAGTGTTTGTAAATAAAATTATCTTGTATCTCTGAAGGAGAATTTCTGTAAGATAGATGCTTATTTGTAGTACTTTAAGGGAGGTTTTGTTCTACAGACAGCTACCCTAACGCCATTTCTTGTGGAGCTTTCCAAGTCTCATGGGTTTTCTACAGGTCCGCCTATTTCCACATACTGCTAACTATTGTCATTAAATGCTGACCATCTGTCAGTCCAGAAATGTCGCCACGGTAGCTAAGTGGGTATGACGCTAGCTCACTAGCCTTGGGGTCGGGTGTTCGATCCCTGCATTGGCCGAAAAAGTTCATCGGGATTTTCCGACGTGGTTTCCCCTTGTCAGTGGTGCAGGACGGAGGACCTGACGAGAACAGCTGTCTAGTCTTTCGGATGGGACGAAAAACCGAGGTCCCGTGTATACATTTGCGTGCACGTAAAAGATCTCCTTGCAGATGGAATTCGATATAAGAGTAGGCCACAGTGCCACTGCCCTGGCAAAATTTCCCTCATACGGCTTATGCCCGCCATAACTATACAAGTCGAAGCAGAACAGTAGGACGTTAAACCCCATTTCATTTCATTGCCTTGACTGTGCCAACTGAAGTTAATCCCCATTTATCACGCCCTTTCTAGCGTATATCAGAGATATTAATTCCAGACATGACGATGGTGGTAATGACATCAAGCCATGACTAAGTATATGTCTAAAGTCTATTACGTCCAGGTTGCACGTGACAAGGAGTAGGGTCGCCTGTCCAACCTCGTGGGTTTTCTCTGGGTCCTCCGGTTTCCTCCCACTGCTAAAGACCCCTACGCGCAAGCGAATTATTGTCACACCTTCCACGTTTATTGATCTGTCTAACCACGGTATTTTTATATTATGTTATATCTCATTGATATTTTATGATTTTTTCGTTTATTTATTTAAATTAAATTGAAAATAAATAAAAGCCTAGTGAACATTTGGTATGCGACTATATACCTTTAGATCACTTTATTTATTAGTTGATGCCCATGCGTCATTTTTGATTTGAACCGTCAGATATTTTACGCGAAATCCTTATACGGCATTTAGTAATTGAATATATAATAATAAAACACAATTTATATGGAAAACAATCACTGAGTTTATTTCACACTACGTTTCTAATGCGATGCCGGATGGTTTCATATTAGTTATTGTTTTTGTTACCTTGTATATAATTTGATTTCTTGACATTACACTGTCATTTTTTACTTGAGAACGACAAGAGGAACTTGTTGAAACGTAGTGTGAAATAAACTCAGTGATTGTTTTCCATATAAATTGTATTTTATGTAGCACCATGGGTCTTCTTTCAGACGTGGAGAGCGGGCCACCAAATCCTGTCGTCACATCCTACGTATGACCCATGCATCTTTTCTTACTACATATTTTAGTAGCCTTGTGATCGTCTAGTATTTTCACATGTTGTCTTTGCTTGCCCTTCACGTTGTGTAATTACTTCTTCTTATCTATCTCAGTTAGTTAAGACATTTGTCTTTCCAGGAATAACAATGCAACAGTTCGTTTTTACATTTTATATATCATAGCCGGATACATGGATACAAGCATAGTATAGATTACAATACTAAAGTCATTCTCAAACCCCAGCCAGTCAGACTCGCTGGGGCAAGTCTGCTGATAGAAATTGCTACACCTTATCCCTTCCGGAATCTGTCTGCTGTCTGACGAATTCTCACAAGTATGATAGTTTTGTAGCTTTGGGTTTGGGACCTTCAATTATCTAATTGGTCAAATATGATGTAAATAATTCGAGAGATTGGTTAATTAAGCCAAATGACGTTGAAACCGACCCTTATATAGTTAGTGGAAATTTCCCACAAGATATCTGTTACCAACCTAGAATTGAATGTTTACCACATTATGACTATTTTTTATGTACCAATATGCCACTCATTCGCTAACTTAATTTAAGTACATATATGGGAATCTAATAACTTGCCAAAGATATTAATTAATACAATATAATGCCATCATTAATTTCAAGAACAAAAATTCTAGCAATATTGCAACATTTATTATTATATTTTACTCGATCAACTTTTATTATTTTTCATTGGCAGTTTGATTGGTTTATGGCAATGAACGGATCAAAGCTTGAATAGTCTTTCTTTTTATTCGGATAGTCTGGAGGCTCAGTGTGGGGGCGGGGGGTCATCAAATGGGCACAAAACCAGACCCAACGTAGAATACGATGCCGAGTGGTAATCAGTCCGCCGTTGGGGGGTTTTCTGGATATTCGGGGTCAAAGGTCAAATGAGGTCATTTGCACTGAAAGTGAATGCGCAGCCATTCTTCTATATCATGAAAACATGCTGAAAATGATCGAAAGTAATCACTCTTTCAATAAAAATGTAAACTTGCTAAATTCACCTTTGTTCTTTTTGACACCGGGGGTCAAAAGGTCAAATTTTCCATTTTTACACTAGGAAGCTTTAAAGCAATAAATGTCAGCGTAAAATATAAAAACTAAAGCGAATTCTGTTCTAATTAATAATAGGAACATTTAAAACTTATCTTTATGTGGTCTTAGCACCGAACTTTTACTTTGGAACGTCGAAAAAAACAGTTTTTAATAACATAACTTTAAAGTATAAAATACACGAAATACTAAATACTAGAAGTCTTTGGTAATTGTACTTGACAGAAATATCGAATGTTACAAAAATCTTTTTTAACCAAAAGCGTGATGTTGCTTTGTCCAGAAGAGTTCGTCGCATTGATGTCGAAAAAAAACCATAATATTACCAAGTAACGAATAAACGCCCAGAAGCAATATTTTAAAGGATAGCGTTTAATTTTTAGAGGAATAACAAGAAGACTTTTCTTTAAATTGTTCAAGGGGAACTCTGAATATCGGTAGGGGTTCTCCGTTGGACTATAACCAGACACTACCAACGACTTTCGGATGACAGGGGGAATGACTCTGCAAAAATATCATGAATTACCTCAGGACAAGCTAAATAGTCCCAGCAAAAACATATATTATAGCGTTTACAGGGTTTTCGAATAAAAAGTTAGTCACTCACGGAAAAAATCATTTAACGACTTTGAACCTGTATAGCATTTACATGGCTTAGTTACACGGTAATAACGCAAACGCCTAAGAATGGTTATTTTCTACTAGTCATTTCCGTGCAGTAATAGAATGGTACCGCACATTATTATTCATATGGTACCTGTCGGTGTTTGTGCTTGGCATAAGAAAATCCAGTTAAGCTTGTTGATGAGGAAGAAGACCGGAAAGATATTAGTCGTGGGATATCTGGCGTTCATCAGAATATAGAAAAGGTAATGAGAGAAAATTGAAATAAAGCAAGACAAGTATATACATACATAAACAGTACATACGAGCGTAAATGTCACTATTCTATTTGAACAACCTTCTTAAACTTTTAATATGGCCTTTTGTCTAGACTATATTATGAATGCTGCATCTGAAAATAACACGTTTCTAAATTGTAAATAAAATATATTTTAAAGGTTATTCAAAGTTTAGAAATAGAGAGTAATAGTACGTGCAGTTTATGAATGGACTGTACAAAAAAACAACAACATAGGACAAAGGAGTATCAGTGTTCATAAATAGAAGGTAAGAGATTAGCGTAATAGTGCGGGCTATCTTTAAACTATCATGACAGACCTTATAGTTTTACGCACACGCGTTAAACCACTATACCCTCAATCTCCCTGTTAGAAGATATAACTGTGGTTTTTTTTATTATCGTTGCAACGGTACTGGACAACGAGATATAAACTAAATTTTTAAATCGCACGGGCGTTATCTACTATTCCTTTATTGATGCCAAATACGATCACAACGATGAAAATTCCTTTGTGATGACCATTCATTCTGATATGTAAGGTAATGGTATTTATAGTACATCAAACCAGATTAAAAGTCAGATCAGAGAACAAGAAACTAATGCATGACTGACCGATAAGCGTCATACTATCTATGCAAACTTTTTTTTATCTGTTTGGGTCATGTTTAGTATACGATTGCTGTATCTGATCAATGGGCTCATCTTTACTCTCTACTAATAAATATTTATCTATGTCGATAAAAAAAAATCATGGCCGTTATAAAACAATCTAAGTAATAAGTAACACCAGAGATAGCAAGTTGATATTGCACTATCTATTTATTGTGTATGCATATGATATGAAATCAAACGTAACCTCGGGTGACCCCTTTCTCCATATAGTGGAAAATTTGATTCATATGTTTAACTAGGCTCGTGAATAATGCCAGCTGTATGATTTTCTTGGACAGTTAAACTCTTAGATTATAATCCACTTAGAAAGGTAATATTGTTTTAGCATTTTAATTGGCAGCCTCGTACAGAAGAATCGAATATATAAGATTGACTACTTCAAAAATATCCTGGCACAATGGATATACTCCTATAGTACGACCAAACATTTTGGGTTTTAAAGAACACATGAAAGACGATTCAGTTGCGATTCGGACTAATTTTACGTTAAAATGAGTAAACGGTAAGGCTAGATTCCCACTGTCGTGCGATGCGTTACGACAGGATTGTCCCTATCGAGTCCACGATTTGCTACGTGCAGATACGTTCGGATAACGGCAACACGACTGCTACGACTGACCTCAGTATATCATAAGACCTGATAGGATCAATCGTGGCATGAATCATGATAGTGGGAACCTTGCATAAAACATTCAAAGATTTCATGCGTCGGGGTCTCTTTCCTTCACGTCAGTATACATGCGTGTGTTTACATTTGTATTTATAAGACTTGGCCTTGCTCTCATTTAACAGTTTAGTCTGCGATATCACTACTGTGAAAGCAGACGTTTATCTTCAAACTATCACTACTGGTAGGATTTAATACTAGAAACGGGAGTGTACAAAACAGACTATTTTATATTTTAAGCTTAGACAAACTCTACCAACATGCTGGAAGATCTGATAGAGAGCGTTGGCTCCAGTGGAACGTTCCAATGGATGGTGGTGTGTCTAATTATGTCGTCGAAGATGGTTTTTGCAATGAGTATGTTGATCATGTCATACGGTGGAGTGGTTCCCGATTGGTGGTGTATTTCTAAGGATGAAGAGACCATGTCAGTTAAGTCCATGAATAGTTCAAGTATTGATTACCAGACCTGTAATGCAACGAGTGTCTGTTCTCGAAGATATGAATCTTATACTATAACTGTTGTCAGCAAGGTACGAAAAAAGTTAAATAGATTAATTTCAAATGTGTCTTAATTGCAGATAATGTTAATCGTAGCTTTATATTTGTATTAGATTAGTACTCTTTTTTTTATCATTAGTTCGTCCTAAAAGACATTCTAATGCCTTCCAGCACTAATGTACTTATTGCTATATGTTATCAGTATCGGATCTCGGGAGGGCAAAGCCTTGGTCGACTTTTCCATGCGACCAACAATATTCATGGCTACTTGCATTCTATGGCCTTTGTCATGTCATAATAAATACGGTAAATAGTTTTTATATAATATTAACACTATTTTTCCACAATTAATCTTTTCAGTTTGATCTAGTTTGTGATAATGCATGGATTAAACCAACAGTTACTTCAGTACAGATGGGCGGGGTTCTTGTTGGTGCTTTTATTGGAGGGCAATCGGGAGATATGTTTGGAAGAAAGAAAACCATTTATGCCGCCATATTACTACACGCCATCTTTAACATAATCGCGGCATTTTCCGTCAACTGGCAAATGTTTGCAGCTTTCCGATTCCTAATTGGTGGAAGTCTTGGTACCTACCTTGTTTTGGTTGTTTACCCATTGGAGTTCATTGGCCTCAAGCGCCGCGCCTTGGCATCTTCTCTACCATTCTGGACAATTGGTGTTTTATTTTTAGCCTTAGCTACGTATCTGATCCACGATTGGAAAACATTGCACATCCTTATTGGTGCGTTGACATTTCCCTTTGTTCTGGGGTGGTTGTAAGTATGCTTGTATTTGTTATTCTTGATTTTCCGGCGTGGTTTCCCCTTGTCACTGATGCAGGACGGAGGGCCTGACAAGGACAGCTGTCTAGTCATTCGGATGATACGAAAAACCGAGGTCCCGTGTATACATTGGGATGCACGTAAAAGATCCCTTGGCAGTTGGAATTCGATATAAGAGTAGGCGATAGTGCCGCTGGCCGGGGAAAATTTCCCTCATAGCACACTGTATGGCGTATGCCCGTCTTCATTAGCCCAGGTTAGGAGCAGAACAGTAGGACGTTAAACCCCATTTCATTTCATTTCATTTCGTTATTCTTGAAATATGAAAGCAGTGAAATGAAAAGTAGTTAAACTTACCACAAAAACAAAATGTAATACTATAGAAAAAAAGTATAAGGTATTACACATGTACATCATGCGAGAGGTGATTACCAATACTTTAAACGTGTAGACCTCTGACAATTTAAAAACAATTGGGGGAAGTGTGATTTTATGCTACACGTCAAAACAAACGGATAAGGGGCGCGTTAGATATTTACATGTTGTAGACCAAAAAACCGCTGATATTTTGATCTTTACGGAATATAATAATTAAGTTATTAAGAATTTCGGTTTGTAAGTAGAAAACAGATAAAACTAGTAATATGATATCACGTTCGGTAATTTATGTAGATTAGTATATTCTAGTAAAGCCACTAATATACACAATGTAATATAACACGTTATTAGCATTTGACCGCAAATCATATTTACATATTACCTTGGAGCTACCTCCTTGAAAAATGTGTAATGAACTCAGTAGGTAATCGACCTTAAAGGTTGCAGGTATTTTATTTTCTATCCGACAAAGACAAGTCTGCCAGATGTAATGAGTGATACATTCACTATATAGTTTTGAAATTAAATAGGGTTTAACGTCCCACTTTTCATTATCAACCAGGATAATGAAGATAGTCAGTACTTTAGCTTACAATGACTAGACCTCTTCTATTTAGGTAAAAATAAAATTGATAATTTAATAAAATGCGTGGTGCCGGTGTAATTGGCAAATTGACCGATAATAGTATATAGCCGAAGTTGTGGTTTACTGTCAACAGTATAAGATAAACGCGTAAATAAAATTAGTAATCCAACTTAACCCAAATTGCCTTCAAATTGACAAGGTGAAGTTGGCACGTTATTCGGTATTCGAGAATCTCGAATACCGTGCTGGTTCGTTATTCGGGATTCGCTAAAAACGAATAACGCATAACGAGCCAGCTCGTTATTCGGGATTTGGCAATAAAACGGGAGATTGCTGGTGAGGACTGCCCCGTACACTCTAACAAACCAGTTATCACCCTATTCGCCTAACAAACGGTCGTCTTCGTGCTAGTAGTCGGAGGTAGCGAGGAAATCGTTGGAAGGAAGGTTGGCCGGTCTGTTTTACTTCCGAATCCCGAATAACGTACTGACTCGTTATTCGGGATTCGACAATAAAACAATCCAGTCAACACCCAATTCGCTCGACAAACAAGCGTCTCCTTGCTAGTCGGTCACTCAACGTGCACTTACTGCCCCGTGCACCCCAACAAACTAGTCAGCATCCTACTCGCTTGAGAAGCTGCCGTCTCCGTGCTTGTAGGTCACCCGACGTTCACTTACCACCAAGGGTCGGAGGTAGAGAGGAAATGGTCGGATGGAATGTAGACCGGTCTGTTTTAGTGGTGAACTTCACGTTGCCCTTAAAATTTCGAAACCAAAATTTAATCATATAGACTCCTGACGTATCGCTAACCACATGTGTATAGCACAACAAGAACAAACGTATAGTAAATTTAATCGGTTTTTTTTTTAACGCTAATAAATTATCTATAATTATCACATTTACCTAGTTTGTACCTTAATAACACTTGTATGATTTAATAAAAGATATATTTCGGTTGCGGATATAGTTTCTGAATATAAAATATGTACAGTTTTTAATTTGAAATATTCCCATACAAAAGATACATTGAATGGATATCTATATCGAGTTTTATTTAAGGCGACCATGTGTATAATAAACCAGAAGAGTGCATTAGTGAATATAATTCTATTTTAAAACGGATATTAACATTTAAATATCAATGGTCTGTTCTGTACCTAATTTTATTTTAAAGCGTAGTTCCCGAAAGTCTGCGATGGTTGGCGACCAAAGGCAAAATAGAAGAGGCAAAAATGGTTGTTAACAAAATTGCTCGATTTAATGGAACAAAAGTTCCCGATAATGCTGAGGCTATTCTAAGAAAAGTAGCCGAGGTGGAACTACAGAACAACGAGGGCGAAAAGAAGTATACATATATAGACATCTACAGAGGATTTCCAATGTTTAAAAAGAGTATTTGTTTAAATTATATCTGGTAAGTTTCGACTATCATCTGAGTAATAATAATAGTAATATTTTCAAGTTTAAGAATACAATATTCTGTTTAATGCAGCGGGGCCATTACCGTTCAAATGGTCGACAGATTGATTTGGGATACATAGATGTCATAATGGTGAATATGGTATAGTAATACAAATTGCTATATATAGATAGATTATTTTCATTGCTTGCGACAATTGCCTTCATACGTAGGACCTATCGGAGGTCCGTCTGGATTGCAATCAGGTGTCCTTAAAATAAACTGGTTCAGTGACGTCAAATGTCCGGTAATCCAAATTAGTCATAATCATTGGTACCCATCATTACTCACGAAATCCCCCCCCCCCACACACACACACCCCTCCCAGCATATTCTTATCTAACGGGGAAACGGTTTCCAATACGTTGTGTTGGTGGTCACTATATGTCGCATTTCTCCCCGTCCTAAACATCATTCTTTATCGGATAGATCTTAGCGTTACTTTCCACATCAGCCGCCTCAGATTAGAAGCTGGAACAGACATCATTTGGCGTTCCTAGAAAGCCACCAGTTAGAGTTTTTAGAGACGATGTATATCCTTAGGCGGTGGCCCTGGCTCTTTTCGGCGTGTAAGACTACGTGACTCTAGATTACAACTTACATAGTTATATGTTATTTTAAAGTCCATGACCAGAATGTTCTCAAGCAGCGACCGTTTATCTACTGTAAGATAGTTTTACATCTGTTGTTTGGAGACAAGGATCAACAGGATTGTAGAGTCACATCTGTATTAAACTGAACGAATTGTAATGAAAACGTATAATGTGATTAACCACCAGTCATATTATTCTACAACAATTGTGTTCCAGGTTTTCATGCTCTACAATTTATTATGGCTTTTCTTTTGGGGTCAGCAACTTTTCTGGCAATTTTTACTTGAATTTTTTCCTGATGAACGTCATTGAACTATCAGCATTTTTTCCAGTCATCTACCTTCTAGGAAAGTAAGTTCGAATTTTTAAAATTGCAATTTGACTAAAGAACGCAAACTGTTAAAGACAAATTTAAACAGAATTGAGAGGGAATTAAAAGCATCCATATTTTGCCACCTTGTCTATTATTGTCTATTATGTGTTTATCTACTTCAGGATAGGAAGAAGGTACACCTGTGTTTTTGCTTTGTTTCTAGCTGCAACGTCTTGTATTGCTGCACTGATTGCACAAGAAGGTTTGTTACATTTTGGTATAAAACAATTATATCATCCATTTATAAAGATCAAGGGTACATTCATTAATGAATAAACTTAAATAATGCAACTTGAACATACATAATTGAAAAACAAAAGTAACAAACAACAAAACCTCCTGACAATTAATGCATACTATTTTGTTTGATGTTTTCTTTAGTTAACGATGAATCCAAGAGTTCGTTTATTACCGGAGTCTCCCTATTAGCCAAGATATTGACTGGTGCGGCTTGGGTGGCCTTGATTCTACTAACTAATGAGTCTTATCCGACAGTCATCAGGTAATATGTTCTGTCAATTACAATATACAATATAAACCCAAAGCGATTCAAAGAATCGGGGACAATGGTTACTAATTAATTTTATTTCCATTAATTACTTTTGGGTATGGCTCTTTTGAAGTGGAACGGAACCGGAGTCGAAGTGCCTTGTAAACCCAAAGAGTCTGGTCATACGACCGTATATGTAGGAAATGAAGTGAACTTAAGAAGAGTTTCTGGTTGTGTCTTGATGCTTATATTCTACCATCAATCCTGGATTAACATCTTAAGCAATACGCAACAAAAAGGGAATCCAATAATATTTGTTCAAGCAACCGCCTTGTTAATATTTGCTAACTGAATTCGGATCCTACTTTATGATCCATTTAGGTTACTGTCACTACAAAATGAGTAATATTAATTTGCATTTTATGTTCTTCTAGATATTTAGGTTATGGCGCAAGTAACACGATGGCTCGCATAGGTGGAATCCTAGCTCCTTTTATCTTCAGTTTGGTAAGTACAGATAATGGTAATTACCCTGAAAACCTGAAAACTTGAGGACAATCGACAATGTTTTTATTTTAGCCAAATCAAATAACTCTCCGACCCTGTCTTGTCGGAAACTATACAAGGAACATTCTTAATAAGATTACAGCCGAGACGTGTAACAGTTTGATAAATTTAATAGTACAGACTTAATATTACGAAGTTCTCCAGATCTTCATATATATTTTTATTCTAAACCAGGTTTATTTTGTTTTTATCAGGGAAGTCACAGAATGGTACCTTACGTTATGATGGCTGCACTTATGGTATCGAGTGGTATATGTGCACTACTGCTACAAGAAACTAAAGATTTGGCTATGGCTGATCTTATCGAAAACGACATGGAAAAAGACATAAAAGAGAGAGAAAAATCTAGCGTATATAAAATTTCCCGCGGTTTGGATTCTAACGGGATAGCACCTCCGTGTAACGAAAAATCTCCTATAAGCGAAGGCTTAATAGTACCCACCGTTCTCAAAGACATCGAATATAACACTCAAATGTAAAAACATTGAACCATATTTTGTGGCTATGTTTATTCTAGACACAATTACTTCCAATAGAATGTCAAGCTGGTTGTATTCATATGTAAAACACATGCAGTTCGTGTTGATATATCAGTGTCTATCAATAATAGCTAATATTAAAAGTACATACAACATCGTGTGTGATTATTTGCTTGCTTGCTTACTCATATCTGTATTCAAATAATTTTATAAATTTTACGTATCGTTATCCATATAACAGGACAAGTTTCTTTAAAAAGTAAAGTAAAATATAAAACATGTATAAGAAATCCTATACCAAGATATGTTTGATACAATATTAGCCTACAACAAATATACATACGCCTTCCTATTTATTATGTAATTATTTAGGATTACGGTGATAAATCAAAGCTCTGGTTGGGAAGATGGCAAATTGGGAAAAAATGAATATCAATGGTGTAGCTGTAATTTTCGAATCGAGTAGGTTCACTTAACCCAATACGTTTTGATGCATTGTTTCATATCCCACACCAGAAGCTACATGTATATTATTAATTCTGGTTTTTTTCTATTTTGTTCTATATTAAACGTACCCAATCAAAGTTCAATAGATGGTTTTAATATCAATACCCTACTTACTTATTTCCCATCTATTCAATAGAAACTTTCAAATTTTTATTTGGAAAATTCACTCGTTTTTTTTTCTTTTGTCCGATTCTTCCTTATAATTTAATTTCTTGACTAGTGGGTGAGATGAAATGACCTGTCTTTCATTCAAGGGTCGCCCGCCTCGTGTACTTGATCAAGAGTTTCTGGTTTCACCTCACAGCTGAAGACATAACGTCAAAAACAATGTATAGTCCCGAAATGTATATCCGGGTTTAAATAAAACAATTTGTCTGTTATAACAGCGACATTCTTCTATTGGTCAGTAAAAAAGAAAGATAAGACAAAACGTGGAAATACGCCCACACAGCAGATTATTTGTTTCCAGTAAGGTCATAGACGCTTATCCGAAATGATAACTGGAATGTTACGGATCCTATATCCATTCAATAAATCACATCCTTTCCGAACACATACTATATCTAAGTATGGAATAAAAATTTCTAGAATGATGAAAATCCCCTCGAATCCGTATGCTTCACACTAAATCAATAGAGATCATCCTCTCACAACCCTAATATTTCACACCAAGTGTGAAAAGAAATCCATTATTAACTGTGGCCCCAATCCCGTTCACAATCTTTGTGATAGAAACGGAAGGTCCCACACTTAAAAAATCTCAAGAACAGAAATATCTCGAATGCTGACAATCCCCTATGGCCCCAATGCTTCATATCACATGAATAGGTTTCATCCTTCAGAAGATAGACAATCGGGTTCATCATCTCACAATCCTATTGTTTCCCACCAGATTTGAATAGGGGATCTTAAAGACTATAGCTTCTAACGCGCTCACAAGCCGATTGACGGCTTAAAATGTAATTCATTAAGTATGTATTCGCGAGTGTAGAGTTGGTGATGGTTGTGATGTGGGGTGGGAGGAGGTGGGGTCTAAATAAATATCAATAGTCAGAGCAGTATCTACTTCATGATTCAGTAAAAGAGCCACAGTGGCAAGAAATATGGGGTCTTTACAGTTCCTTAAAGAGATTTATGAGAATAAGTCTCTAACATCAAAAGAAAAAGTTGTAATGTGTGAAGCGCTGTATTTATAAGGAGAAATAATTCAATTAGATTTCTTTGTAATTCAAATACATTTAGTTTTCATAAGAGTACATTTACCTAAAACTTACAATAAGTTTAGTTATATATATATATATATATATATATATATATATATATATATATATATATATATATATATATAAATATATTGATATTTATTATATGAGTCAATGATGTAGGTGATATTTCGACTACTCGAGCCCTAATATCAACAACCTCGACACAGTATTTGTAAAGAATAAACATATTAAGTATTATGTGAAATTAAAATTTATATAAAGACCGTGAATTTAAAGGTATATAGATACAATTACCTTGAAGTATATTGTGAGAAATCTGGGGCAGCTCATTCAATAGAGTTAGATAACCGTTCTTGGTCTTAAAGGGACACATTCATTGTGTGGTGGTGCGGTTCTCCTGTACTTACTATTAAGTTCTTCGTGATGAAAGAAACCACGTAACCCTTTATAATTTCAACTAAAAGGTGCATGTGTCATATATGTATTGGACCAAAAATACTGACGAATTTTGCATTGATAAAGTATTTGAGTTAATGTCATATTCCTGAAGCAATGGCCCGAGAAATCCCTCTCTGGCCATTGCTGGATTGGCTTCTGATACTTGAGCTTTTGGGGGAGTGTGTACAGCAACATGACAGCCCTTCGTTTAATTTGGGGTCTTCCCTAAAACTTTGGACAGTGATGTAAGGTATTAAAAACGGTGAAAGTATTGTTTTGATTCTAAAACATATTTTATTGCAAAAAAATATATTCTTTACAAAGGGATTAGAACAATTTATAACAAATTATGAATCTTCTCCCAAATATCAGTCAAACTTTTGTACAAAATAGTATGGCGAATTGATTTTTAATTTAACTAACATAAACATAATATGTACATCTATTTACAAAACTTCCTTGTAAATTATATTAATTAATGCAGATTAATACGTTACTTATTGGTACATTATTATAGTATTTGTTTTCAATTATATGTAAAACATTTCGAGTCTTTGATATACCTTTGAATAAGTAAAACTAACATTTTATTTAATTTTTTTGATAGTAGCGATGAACCATGGAGAAATATTTCGTGTAATTCAGTGAAAGGGATATTTACAAGCCATGTCAGTTTATTGAAAAGTGCACAGCGTTGAGTACTATACTTCGGGCAATCAAAAAAATAATGATACGAATTTTCGACAGATATAGCGTTACAACTACAGTATCGATTTTCAATTATATGTGAACGAAATAGATCGAAATTTAAACTACTACATCCATGTCGAATATGATTGTGGTATATAGAGAATGGCCTAGAAGCAATGCTTCTGAATTTTGGTGGCTTTATTTTAGGTTTTAGATATTTTTTAAAATTCTTTAACGTTTGCAATGTCTTTTAAATCTTTTGATAAATTATTGTATTCGCGAATAGTTTTCGGAAAGAATGATTTTCGATTGATACTAACACGACAACGGGGTTCCCGAATGTTGGAGTTTCGTAAATTTTACAGTGCTAGGGATTCGTTTACAAAATGTATAGTATTAGTAAAATACCTAGGACAGATTCCATGGATTATTTTATGTAATTGATACAAACGTCTAAGCTTTCTTCTTTCACTTAATTTTGACCATGCAGTTTCAAAATATAAAGATTGTCTGGAGGCGTAAATTGTATTTCCTGTAACAACCCGAGCTGTTTTCATCTGAAAAATTTCTAATTTATCCGAATTATAACTACTACAGTTATCCCAAACTTAACAACAGTATTCAATTATAGGCAAAATAAAACATTTATAGAGTTTATTAAATGAATCTTGAGAAATTAAAAAATTTAATTTGCGAAGTTGATTAAATTTGAATGAAGCTACCTTAAGTATAAAGTCAACATGACGATTTCATTTCCCGTTATTCTGAAGAAACACCCCAAGGTGTTTATGGACCGACGTATTTAATATATACGTATTATCATATTTAATATTAAGCGGATAACTATTTTTCTGATAACTGAAGATCATTAGATTTGTCTTTTCTGGATTTAAAGTCAGTAACCATTTTTTACACCATTGTAATAATTTGGATAAATTAAAGTTTAATTCAGATTCAATCTTTTCAAAATATTATTTTGAAGAAGAAGACAAAGACGTATCATCAGCGAATAAACGCGTGATTCTAAATAAACCATCAGAGATATCATTAATATAAATAAGAAATAATAGAGGTCCGAGGACCGAGTCTTGTGGAACCCCAGAATTTGTATGCCCAATATCAGATGATGTGCTGTCTATCAGTAAGGAGAGTCATACTCAGGTAGTTCTAATTGGGTACTATCAACACGTGAATCAAGGTGGGTTTCAGTGACGCACAAAATTTGGAAGTCAGTTAAACTTTCTGAAATGTATTCAAGTTTTTGTCTGATTGAACGCGAGTTTAGATGAAGTATTGACAAATTACTTAAATCGCATTTTGGACCTGGATTTGGGTGAATACCACTAACAATTAACAGTTATATTAAGGATTGCTTTACACGTAAACCACACTTATAAACACACTGATTAATAAACAGTTTAGTTAAACAGCACTTATACAGATAACAACTTTTACGATTTAAAAATAAGATAAGTTGCATTAAAAGTATACATATTATAAATGCATTCCAAATTAGATACTAATTGCTTGTTAAAATGTAATGTGAATTAAAAGTATGTTTTATAGCTATACTCTTATCAAGGATAAGTTCATTATTTGATAAATTAAACGATGTCTTTAATACATAACAAATGTGAACATGTTTGGATATTATATACAAATTATATACATTTGCAGGGTGGAGATATGCAAACACCACGCTATTAGTATGTATAAAACCAAGATTAACAGTCGTGGGGTATCACTAATTGAATCTTTATCGTTTCGTACCTAGTAGTATTTAATTATACAGATCTTGACTATGTAAATACTGTCTACCAGGTGATACGAATTTTCATTTTGAAAGTAGAAATACAATATACTGTAAAAAATATTGGCATTACTGTAATGGGATAATTAAAATTGGATTCGAGACTATGGTAAATATCTGATAATCGAAGATAAGATCGTTATAAGAACTATTCTGGTGGCATCATCGGTGTGCTTGATTTTGAGCTTGATGGAGTAAGGTAATACGTTATATCTTGGGATCTAGGGGTCCTGATAGTAGTGGTTGACAGTTATTGCATAGTTTCACTTGTTTCAGTTCTTGGATAGGTTTTAATTTCTGGTTGAGAAACTTCTGCGGTTTTGACATTAGTTATGTCACTGCGAAGTAGGTCATCGATGCAAGTGTGGTGGTCAACTTTTACTAGTTTTTCATTAAGGAGTTTAGCATAAATTTTACCCTCTGTGGACCAAGCATTCAGAACTGAAGGATGTTTAGATGTTCTAGAGAGTAGCTGTGAATTGAGT